TGCTGAAGCGCACAAACAGCGGACGTGCGTAGACAGGCAGCTGGGCGGCGAAGGTGACCGCTAGGTCATTGAGGGCTTGAGTCTCTCTAGCCAGCTGTTCAGCGGGACTGACATCGGCATCGCCGGGGCCAGCACCGGCACTGACGCTACTGGTTCGTTTCCGACTGCCAGGATTGGAAACCAGACTGAGCATACCGGCTCGGCCCTCGTTGTGAGGCACCTCTACTCCGTAGACAGCGCAGTCCGCAAAGTTTATCACCCTGGAGACAATGTTCTCCACCTCTGTGGTGGAGACGTTCTCACCTCGCCAACGGAAAGTATCGCCCAGACGGTCGACGAAGTAGTAGTAGCCCTCTTCGTCCTGTACCAGCAGATCACCTGCAGAAAAAAAATCAAAATAACCATGAGAGGTCAATTTAACTGGCTTTGGTGACGTGCTAAACTCAAGAACAGAAATTCTCCTCTTTCCAACAATTAATGCAGCGTCTCCTGGAACCTGTAGTCATCCCTGTAGTCCGCATTAACGCTTGCCTCGCACGACTGCTAGAGAGTGCGCGTTCACTAGTGACTGCCTACCCCAGTCCGGCTAATCACCTTCTAGGTTAACTCACACAAAGACGCTCTCTGACTGCCACGCCCACACACTTCGGATGCTGCACCATTCAGTTACAGTACCGGTTAAAGGTACATACAACAGATCGGCCGTCGATTTCGATGATGACTACTGCGCTTGCCTTCAGCTTAATTTGTGTGTTTATGGATCTGTTTGAAGTGATAGTGGACTTGCACTGTACCGAGTACACAACAGTTCGACTGTCGCTCTCGACGATGTCGAATACTTTCAAGGCGCTGGCCAAGCCGCACCTCACTTATGCGGCACCAATCTGGTCTCCTACGATGAGCTCTTCCAGCCTGCGCCGCCTCCAGTCAGCACAGGACGCTGCCCTCCGCACGATCACGGGTTGCTATAAAATGTCGCCTATAGATCATCCTCATGCGAAGGCCTCTGTTCTACCGGTCGCCCATCACAACACTCTCCTTAGCCAGCAGTT